TAATGAAGCAGTAAGAAATTCTGATGCAGCGAGGCAGAAAAAGAAAGTCTACTGTGACAGGAATAGATGGATAGTAAAACATTCTGTGGGTCAAAAAATGTTAAAAATTAAACACTCTTTATTGTTTACACCAGAAAATAAAGTGACTAAGCTTGAGCCTAGATTCGAAGGGCCTTTTACCATTGAAAGAATAAGATTTGCGACCTTTGCTAACGTTGACCAAGTCAAACTATACTACAGTCAAACTGATTTTGAAATCTTAAGAGAGCTTTATCAGCATCCTAGAAGCATGCCAAGAACTTTGGATACTCAAACAACAAACTGAATTCCTCCAGGAAAAAAAAAAAGAAAGAAAGAAATGGAAGCAGGTGGAAGGTATAAGTGAAAGGGCAGCGAAACGAGTCCTGCTGCAACAAGGGTCAGGGCCTGTGGAAAGGAGAAAAAGGTGCAAAGAGGGAAAGGCTAGGAAAAAAAGTCCCACCGCAATGAGGTCCAGTGCCAGCAGAAAAGAGAAAAAGTGCAACACATGGAAAACCAGTGAAACAAGTGGCACCACAGAGGGGTCCGGACGCAATGAAAAAAGCCTCGGCAGATAGTCATCGTTACCCATTGACAACCACCCCAAGGGAGGTCGGATCAGATCCAGGATGAAGAATTATCAGGGGTAAAAAACAGACGACACGGTTCCAGCAATCAAGGAAGTCCAAAAGAAGATTTAAATACCCGCAGGAAAGGAGTGCCCCGTCCAGAAAACCAAGCGAAGGGTTGAGTACCAGAATCCTCAATCCACGAGGAAGTTAGCCCCATTCACCACAAAAGGGAAGAAAAGGAAAAAGGTTGTGGCAGAAAACGCAAGCTCCCGAGGAGAAAAATCAGACCAGAGACCCTGGAGTGCCCTAGCTGCGAAGCATTCTGCCCAGCTAGGGCACTCCATGAAGATTACAAAAAGCAAAAAGACAAGTGAAAATTTTCTTTGTTTTCTCATTTAGAATTAAAGTTCAATTTATATCATTTTGTTCAAAGTTGCTTTTCTTAAGTGAGAACATCTGTTAAAATCTGTTAGAAGCAAGAATTTTGAATTCACGAGTTTGACAATGTTGTAAATACGTTTTAGTCGAAAAGAATGGAAATTATGATGAAAATTGTTGTAAACTTAAACTGCAGGAAAAGATTGCAAACTACGTATAGCAACTGTATAACCTGTGATGTAAAATGAATTTCAAATTTTATATGTTAAATGTCTAAAAATGTTTGTGCTGAAAGTATAATTTTAAATGTTGATTGTAAAAATGCTTTAAAATTAAACTTTGCTTAAATGCAAAACTTTTTTTTAATGAATGATTGAAGAGAAAGTACAGAATGAATGTCTGTTAAAGTTCGGCTCTCCAGCCAACATTTTAAGTCATGCTCTCCTTGGTACACTAGGTGCAGCTTTATAAATAGGGAGTACTTGAAGTCTTATGTATCAAATTCTAATTGTGGATTGTGGTTACTTGGTAGTGTTGTTCGTGGGAACACAACACTGACACGCTCATTGCACAACAGAGCAAATTTCTGGATAACATGCAGGGGATTAAAATGTGTGTGAATGTAATCTGTTTTAGGGCCAAATAAATGCAATAAAATGTAATTGGAAAAGAAATTGGAAATATTTCTTAGAAACAAAGAACTAATGCGTTTTCCTTCCAGAATATCTGCAAGGACCAAAATAATGTATCAGAGTGATGTCAAGATGTATGTGCCGAGCAAGAAGTTCTGTAAAATAATTTTATTTATCTTACTTTTAACTTAGGTTTAGATAAATTGAAAAGTTAGCCCTAAAAGAAAGTTAAAACTACAATGTCAATAATGAGACTGAATTAAGAATTCAGAAGCATCAGAAGTTAAACTTTAATTCTTAGGAAGTTTTCTAGAATTTAAACTCTTTAACAAGGTCGTTGTGAGACCTTTTCCTTTGAATACTTAAATTCTAGTGGGGAAACAAATAAGGTAAATCCTAATTTTATAACAGTTATTTTATGTTTATATGACTTTCCTATCTCTCCTAGCTTCAGCTTACAATTCCTCACCAGAATAAGTTTTTAGAATCACGTTAAATGCAAATGAGAAGCAGAGTAGTATTTAAGTTCCACTAGCTAATTTTATATTATGGGCCAAGTAGTTTAGAATTTGTGTCAACTTTGGCTAAATCTTTTTAAGTTAGTCATTAGTTAGTTCTTTTTTCTTACATTTTTGAATTTAAGCCCACGTGTAGACTTTGTTGTACGTCCTGAGAAAGGGGCATTTGTGAATCTTTATTGAGCAATAAAGAGTAATTAACTCTTCTTGAGTTTCTGTTCTTGGACTAAGAGATTATTCGCTTAGCTGTTTACTAGGTTCCTCAACACTTAATTAATAGATAAAACTGTGAGGAACATCACAGGTTATCAAATGATACAATAAATCGATGAATTCATGAAATGGCAAATTCCATAAAAGAGACACTGATTCAAAAAATAAAATACAGTGAGTGTTTCACACTGCAATTGAATGAAAGTACTGATATTACGAGCTTTGTTCAATTATTAGTCTACATACGTTCGGAAGAAGATAAACGAATTGCTGAAGAATATTTATTTTGCTAATCTCTTCATGATAGAGCAACTACAAATGAAATTTTCAAAGTATTTGACAATTTTATGTCTGAGAATGATATTCCTTGGAATAAGCACATTGCCGTATGCAGTGACATAGCTCATGCTTTAAGAAGAAAACATTCTAGCATTATATCTCAGATAAAGAAAGTCACATCTGACGCTAAATTTACTCAATGCTCAATTTATAGTGATGCTTTAGTAGCCAAAACAATCCCTGAAAGCCCCAAATCATTTTGAATCGAGCTATGAAAATTGTTAATTTCATTATAAGCTGAGCTTTAAATTCAAGAATATTTAAAATTTTATGTGAAAAGATAGACATTGACCATGAAATGCCTTTGATACATTCTCAAATAAGGTGGTTATCCAGAAGCAAAGTTTTAAATAGTCTTGAACTTCAATTAGAAATTCAAATTTTCCCCTGTGGATCCAAATTTGAATTACAAAAATAATTTTTTTTTTTTTTTTTTTTTTTTTTTTTTTTTTTGTGAATTATGGTTGGCACGTTAAGCATATTTAGCTGATATATTTGGAAAGTTAAATGAATTAAATTTAGGGTTACAAGTGCAAAATGTTAATTTGTTTGCCATTAGAAATAATATAAATACAATAATAAAAAAGCTAATAATCCAAGAACTGGATAATAATATTTCACACTTTTTTACCACTCTTAGAAAGTTTTCTAACAAAAATAATTTGAAAATAAAAGAATTAGACACTAGAAATCATTGTTTTATGTTGATAAATAATTTCAACATTTCTTTTCTAGAGGATTATGAAAACCAAAACTGGATTAGAAATTCATTTTGTTCAAATGTGCCTGAAATTTTATTTTGTAAAGAAGAAGGACAACTAATAGAATTTTCCTGTGATCAACTCCAACTGAAGATTTCAAATAAAGCTATTAAATGTTAATTGCCTTTTTGCACAATCTATTTGTGTAAACAAGGATTTTCTTCCATGTTATTCCATTGATAGACTCTTCTGGATATTGTCCATGAAACTGTAATAGCAACTGAAGATCAACATTCGTGAATAAAAATCTCAATTTTTTCTCCAACTCCTATATAAGTATTCATTTTTATAAAATAAAATGGTAGCTATTGTTTTTGCCTATGAATTTAATGTGACCTATGAATTTAATGTTACTGACATTTTTGTAATGGTGAGCTTTGAAAAACATGTTGTTCCTTAACTATTGGAGGGCAGTGTATTTTAAATATTTCTATTGAGAAATTGAAAAATAACGTGTAAAATGTAGTGATGGTACTAAAGTTTCTAAATTTTTTCTTAGATGGTATGTGCTAGTCAAAAGGTTGAGAACCCTGATCTAGAGCATACATCTCACAAACTCTAATCAGCAAAGATAGTCATCAGCATTTAAAGAAAGGACATTCCACACATGGAAAGTGCACACATAAGCCACTTGTACAACATTTTCTTTGGCTGGCTTTGTACAGAACTTTGATGAACCAATCAGATACAACTATTGACAGTGCTGGTTTTCCAGGAAATGTACACATATCAAATGCTTGACAGTGAAATTCTGCGAATGTGCTACATTTCCAGCAGGATACAAAAGACATCAGAACTAATGACTTATGCTTTTTAACATTACTCTTTTCTAATACTCTCAGTGGAAAACAGCGATAGATTCCATTGTAAATATTGTTAATCTTGATAGGGATCATCACTATGTTAATTTTATTGAAATTTAATAACCAAACTGTATAGCTGAGTAATCTTCTCATTATTTTAATTAAAACATTTAAATTTAAGAACAATGGTTGCTGCAGAGTACGATTTTCATACTAATAATGTTACGGATTTGGTATTTAAATAGTTAATGTTAGTAGAATCATAAATAAAATTGTTTTATTCCCTATGCAGTGAAGCACGTGACAAATATTAAAAGAAAGCTAAGCTGGAAAATTAAAAATACAAGAGCATGTGCATTTAATATTTAAGAAATAGATATCTCTTTTTGATTTCGAGAAAATACCAGAAAATTCTTGTGCATTTAAAAAAGCTTATATAAGCAGCATGAAAACCTCTCAATTTGTTAGTTAGTTTGTTGTTGTTTTAAGAATTTGTTTAGAAAACTGCTCTAGTAATCTGTGAACTGTAGCGAATTCACAGATTAGCTTTCTCTAGCTGTTTTGAATTAAGTTCTCTTGAATGTTTGAGAAGTTAAAAGATAATGACTGTGAGATATTGTAATACTGCACGAATATCTGAGGAAATTTAAGCATTTTTGTTGTGATAATAATACATTTTGCTCATTTTTCATTGGACTTGTGCATTCAATTCATAACGAACCCATACGCACGCAACAATAAGCACTCTTATTATGCAAGTGCTTACAGTGAAAAACATTCATTTGTGGGAACTTTATCAACTTGATTTCTGAACAAGATTACCTACATATTAATACATACAATAAACAATTCAAAAGCACTTAAGCTGTATTAGTACTTATAATTTAAAAAAAAAAAAAAAATTCTAGTATATATTCTTACATCAGGCAGTACTCTAATCTTGCATGTAACAGGACATGACAGAGCACGGGTTAATGTAGTGAGGATATTGGACACTTTCTCTGGTTGACTAAGCAAAGCAGCACCCATACCTCCCTGAAAATGAGGTACTTTTATTTATATGTAAATTATTAAATACTGAAATATTAAAATAGTTTATTTCTGATACTTACTTTAACTGAAAACTCTTTAGGGCATCCCATGTTTATATCAATACCTGACACATCATTCACTCTAAAATAGAGAAAACAATAAAAAATAAAAAAAAATGTACTTCATACATAAATACAGAGATGTTTTTCAGTAACTTTTTCACAAGAAAAAAAGTATTGTAAACATAAGAAAAGTAAGCAAATTTGGTAATGATGTAGCATGTGACCTAATGCATTTAGTTAGTTACTTATTTCTTAGATTGTTATTATTTATTTATTTATGATTTAAGGAAACACGTAATGATCCCATAGTTTGCAATAATACACTCATGGGCAAAAAAATTGCACCAAGAAATAATTGCGGGATCATAACAAAACTTGCAATAAAGGTACATGTCGGGGAGATATGCAAATAATTAGAAATGCAGCGTGATTGTGCATTACGTATAGCCGGTAGAGGGCGTTGAACGTCGTACTCTGTGGAGTATAAAACAGGTAACCAAAGCTTGTTTGAGTGTGCTCAATCATTTACGAAGGAAGAGCTGAGGTAGACATGCCATTACGCCGTGTTCGAAGAAAATATGAGCAGTTGTCGCAGTTTGAGAGGGGGAGAATCGTCGGGATGATGGAAGCTGGGCGGTCAGCTAGGTGAGTAGCTCATCAATTAGGCCACTCTGATTGAGTTTTGAGGAGGTGTTGGGACCAGTGGACCTGAGAGATGTCATGGACGCCCTTGACAGACCAGTCGTTGAGAAGAACGCTACATCGTAAGAAATGCCCGTGTACAGCCAACTGCTTCATCGGCCACCATCCAGGCACAGGTAGCACCTTCACTAGGGGCCCGTGTCTTCTCGAACAATATGAAGGCGCCTGGCTGGAGGACAGTTGGTATCTTGGCGCCCATTACGTGTGTTGCCCTTGATGTCCACCCATCGATGCGTCCATTTGGAGTGGTGTCCAGCACGAGGGAACTGGACTGCAACGGAATGAAACCAGGTTGTCTTTAGCGACGAATCCAGATTCAATCTCGGCAGTGATGACAATCGTGTTCGTGTGTGGAGATCCCGTGGTGAAGGCCTCAATCTTGCCTTTGCTGTACAGTGACACATGGCTCCCACAGCTGGTGTGATGGTATGGGGTGCCATTGCCTACAATATATGGCCACACCTAGTATTGTTCCGTGGCACCATGACAGCCCAGCGGTATGCTCATGAAATCCTGCAACCACATGTGTTGCCACTCATGCAATGGTTCCCAGGAGCCATTTTTCAACAAGACAATGCTCGGCCTCATACTGTAAGGGTGTCATAAGACTGTCTCCACATTGTTACTATCCTTCCTTGGCCTGCCCGATCCCCAGATTTGTCTCTAATCGAGCATATCTGGGATCATTTGGGACGACGAGTTGGGCATTCCACGAGTTTGAACGAACTAGAGGCAAGGTTACAGCAACTATGGAACGTTAATGTCTCAAGACATCATACAGAACTTGTATGACTCAATGCCCGATCGTATCGCATCGTGCATTCGTGCTAGAGGGGGTCCAACGGAGTATTAAGTCCTCCTTCTTTTGCCTTTTTCTCTGAAATAAATTATCCTTTTTCTTCGATTTTCTTATCATTTACTTATATCAAAGTAGTCATTATGTATTTAAAATTTCGTTTCATTTTGACGACTCTTTCTTGGTGAGCTAATTGTTTTGTCCATGAGTGTATTTTATTTCCAGTAATGGCAACATATTTCTTTTAAGTCATTGAGTTTTTTAATCAAATTTGAAATTAAAATACCTTATTGAATAGCAATACATTTCTTTTAAATCACTAAACTTTCTGATTAAATTTGAAACATAAATATCTTATGCTAACTCATTGTTTTAAATTACTGAGTTTTTTAATCAAAATTTCATTAAATTCACAAAAAAACATAAAATAAATTTAAAACAGATTTAAAATTTGGGATGCACATGTTTCAGTGGGGGGTTGTATGTGTTATGATAAAGATATATTAAGTCTTCAGATAATATATATTGTGCTGTTTGTTTATGTATTAAAGAGTTTTATGCAAGGAGGACATCCATAACAAAGATCTTGTTAGCTTTTGAATTTAATAATGCAGAATTTCTATAATATTCTAAAAATATAAGTAACAAGTTAAACTAGGAAGCTATGAAAATGCATACAGTCAATTGCTAAAAGTCTTTAAATGAATGCACAGTTATCAAATTACAAGTAATAAAAAAGCAGCAAACAAAAGAATATTTTTTTATATGTGTCTATACTTGTAAACACCCCAAACATCTCTTAGACAAAGAAGTAACTTCTTATGCAAGGAAATATCAATATGTATACAAAATTCATCAGAATAAGAAAAGAATTAAATTTCTCTTACACCATTTGAGCAGCCTTCAGAGCTCTTTCAGCTGAACAAGTACCCTAAATAATATTGAAAAGCAAATTAAGGTATAAAACTGAAAAATTACAGCTAGCTGCAACATAAAGGTAAATTTTGATATAAAAATTTCAATTTAAAAAAGATTAAAACACTTAAAAAATTTTATTGACAATACCTGTCTTGAAAATAAGAACATATGAGATAAGAACACAATTTTACAGAAGCTAATATAGCATGTAAGCACATATATGTTTCCTTAGAAAATTGGTGTATGTTGTTTTCTAATGGAAAAGAACTACATTTTTAAAAAAAACTGTGAAAAAGAATAAAATTTCTGATCATTTGATTCTACATTTTGTATAAATAACACACAATTATTAGCAAAAATAGATTCTGATTATTTAGTTCTATATTTTGAAAAACAATATGAAACTATTAGAAATGTTTCATTTCCTATAACACACGTCAATAATAATATGCTACAATACATGACAGTTTTGTTTCACTGTGCAAAACCAAAAAAAAAGCCATTTCAAAATCATGTGGTCAAGGCTCATGAAAATGTTAATGTGACTTCATTTGGCAATATCAATTCATATGTGATATGTGAAAACCAAGGAGGTTAGAATATCATAAAAACCATCTGTTCGCGCCTGCGCATCTGTAATGTGATGATCAGAGGAGTTTGAGAATCGCCATCGACGGTGTACGAGGGCTGGTCAAAGCTATGATTAATTGTAATTAATTATGAGAATTAATAAAGAACCGAACCAGCGAATTTATTTAGTGTGTGTTATTTGGGATGAGACCCAAACATATCCGGTCGTAGTATTCACTTTCCGAAAGCAAATAATATCGTAAAAAAGAAAGAATGTTCTTCATCGGAACAAAATAAAAATAAAACAAATGTGTCTGACTGCAACATTCCCAAACGAGATGACTCATCGACCTTGAATGTTAATGCGCAGGAGTTCGTTCAAAAGGCATTTATTAGCAATTATTCGAATAAACAGAGTACAGTTTTGCTTTCAACAGTGGTATGTTTTCTAATTGATAACGAGGGAAGGAAACACAGAGTGAAGTGTCTGCTGGACCGGGGCAGTATGTCGAACCTTTTGACACGGAATCTTATTGAGCATTTGCAGTTAGAGAAAGAAAAAACAAACATTTCCATTTCGGGAATAAATGATGCTACTTTAACAATAAAGCATAAAATTAATGCTTCGATATGCAATAAAGAAGGAACTTTTATAAAGAATTTGGACTTTTTAGTAATTCCAAAAATAACTGCTGATTTAACACCTTCGCGCAAAATTAAAATTTCAGTGCAAGATCTTCCTAATTTAAAATTAGCAGATGAAGGATTTAATGTTCCAGAAAGGGTAGATATGTTGTTGGGAGCGGGAGTTTTTTATGAACTTTTGAAACCGAGTCAAATTCGAATGAATAATCCTGATCTTATTTTTCAAGATACAGTTTTTGGTTTTATCGTGTCTGGAAGTATTCCAACAGAGACTGAAAACAGGGTTCATTGTGGGTTGATAAAGGAAGAAGACAACTTAGATAAAACTCTTAGAAAATTTTGGGAATTAGAAAATATTGAAACTGATAAACCCAAAAAAAAACAAAGAATTTTTAATTTGTGAGAAACATTTCGTAGAAAAAAATTATACACGAGAGATAAAACCGGTAGGTACGTTGTTAAAATGCCATTAAAGGAGGATCCGGACACTTTAGGAAGTTCTAAACAAATTGCAACGAGTAAATTAAATTCCTTATGGAAACGCTTAGTAAAGAATCCCGAATATTTAAAATTATATTCAGATTTTTTAAAAGAATATCAACAGTTAGGACATATGGTTGAGGGTGAGTGAAAGCGAGGAGGAACGAGGTTCATATTACATTCCTCATATTGGAGTATATAGGGGGAGAAGAGAAAAGTAAGTCGACTCCCTTGAGGGTAGTATTTAACGCTTCTTCTTTGACAACCAAAGGAAACTCTCTAAATTCTATACAGTATAATGGAGGTGTGATACAAGATGATTTATTCTCAATTATGCTGAGATTCAGGAAATATATTTTTGCTTTCACTGCTGATATACAAAAGATGTATCGAGCTATTTCTATCCATCCAGATCAGTGGAAGTTGCAAAGGATTTTATGGAAAGAAGGCATTTGATAAGCCAGTTAAAAACTTTGAGCTAACCACCGTTACCTATGGAACTGTGAGTGCACCATTTTTAGCAATGAGAACACTTGTACAGCTGTCAAGGAGATAAATTTCCTTTAGCAGCACCTGTACTGAGAGAAGACATGTACATGGACGATATTCTATCTGGAGCTGAGTCGCTAAGTTCTGCGTTAGAACTTCAAAATCAGTTAATAGGCATTTTGAAGAGTGGAGGTATGTTACTCCATAAGTGGTGTAGTAATGCTACTGAACTGTGTCAAACAAACGACAAAACATATCCCTTTGGTAAATCAGAAGAATCTAAAGCATTGGGTATTTTATGGAAGTCAAAAGGAAATTGTTTGAGCTTCAACGTTAAAATCGAAGACAACGTAAAGGTTACGAAACGGCAAGTGTTATCCGTCATATCTCGCATCTTTGACCCATTGGGTATAATTTCTCCAGTTATAATTGTAGCAAAAATATTTATGCAGAAATTATGGCTGTTAAATTAAAATTGAACTGGAATGATGTTTTGCCAGAAAAGGAGGCTAAAGAATGGAAAGAATTCTCCACTACCTTGCAGCTAATTAAACAACATTGAAGTCCATAGATGTATTTTATTACCGATAGAATCAAGATTGAATTACATGGTTTCTGTGATGCCTCAGAGGCCGCCTATGGAGCAGTTATCTACTGTAAAGCAACATCAGCAACAAACCATACATCAGTGAGGTTGGTGTGCAGTAAATCGCGTGTCTCCCCCCTAAAGAAGACTACAATCCCAAGACTTGAGCTTTGCGCAGCAGTGCTATTAGCTAAACTGATGCATCGAGTGAAATCATCATTAAAATTGGAGCTTACTGCTATCCACCTTTGGACCGATTCTATGATTGTGCTGTCATGGATCAACAAAGAGCCACATCTGCTCAAGACATTTGTTGCAAACCGGATTTCAAAGATACAGGATCTGACTGAAATAGCACAGTGGCATCATATCGCTTCTGAAGAAAACCCATCAGATCTCATATCTAGAGGTATGTCTGCCAAAAAACTGCAACTAAGTCAACTGTGGTGGAACGGGCCTGACTTCTTAATGAAGGATGAGTACCCTATAAGAGTTATACCTGAAGCAATTACTGAAAAGGACAGTAATGAACTTAAAAACTTTGCTGATTCTGAACTATCTACATGTTTAAATCTGAATGTGAATAAATTTTGTTAATGATTTATTGAATTGCAGTAATAAGTATTTAAAATTAATTCGTATTATAAGTTTTTGTTTTAGGTTTTATAAGAATTGTAAGCAAGAACAAAAGAAGGTAGGTAATTTACAAGTGGGAGAATTGAGAGCAGCTGAAGAAACTTTAATAAAATTAGTACAGGGTGAGTATTTTATAAATAAGATAAATTATCTTAAAAAAATCAGGTATTGTTCCAAGAAATAGTTCTATTAAAAGTCTTAACCCTTTCATTGACAGTAATGGACTGTTGAGAGTTGGAGGAGCAATTTAACTTATGAGAAAAAATTTCCTATTATTCTGCCTTCTAAACATAAATTAACAGAGTTAATAGTTAATTACTATCATTTAAAATATTTGCATGTGGGTCCTCAATCTTTGTTATATCATATAAGACAAAAATTTTGGATTGTAAGTGGTAGAAATGTTTGTAGAAAAATTGTAAAAAATTGTATAATATGTTTTAAAGCTAATCCCATTGTAGCTCAGCAAATCATGGGTGATTTACCCAAGGAAAGAATCACAGCTAATCTTACATTCAATTGTACTGGAGTTGACCTCTGTGGCCCATTCTTAATTAAGTACAAAAACCAGAGAAAAGGTATATATCAAAAAGTTTATGTGTGTATATTCATTTGTATGGTTACTAAGGCCATTCATTTAGAGCTGATAACAGACCTAACATCTGAAGCATTAATAGCTACCTTGAAACGTTTCTTTGCACGAAGAGGTAAAAGTTTAACACTATTTAGTGATAACGCTACGAATTTTGTAGGTGCAAATGCAGAATTAAAGAGGTTAAACAAACTAGTGAACGAACAAGATGAGCTTTTAGCTGGTTATTTGAGTTCTGAGAATATCGAATGGAAATTTCTCCCTCCCAGAGCACCCAATTTTGGAGGCCTTTGGGAGGCTGGAGTTAAATCTTTTAAGTACCACTTCAAACGTGTCGTAGGTTAATGCAAAATTGACATTTGAACAATTTTTAACAATTATGATTCAGATTGAAGGAATTTTAAATTCCCGACCATTGACACAATACCCTTTTTCGGGACATTGATGATTTAGAGGTTCTAACACCTGGGCATTTTTTAATTGGTAGGTAGAGCAATTAATTCGATCCCTGAGCCAGATATCACGGAAGTTAACATTAACAGGTTTAAAATTGTGGCAACAGATCACAAAGATTAGTACAAATTATCTGGAAAAAAATGGAACTCCAATTATTTAAGTCATTTACAAAATCGATCTAAATGGCAAAGTTCTAAAAACAATATACAAGTTGGAGACATGGTCTTAATTAAAGATAATTTGCCTTGTTGTAATTGGGCGGTTGGTCGTATAATAGAAGTATTTTATGGTAAAGATGGAAAGGTTCGCGTGTGTAATGTAAAAACTCAAACTGGAACTTTCAAACGACCAATTACCAAATTATGTATCTTACCAATACAAAAATGAATATTGTCTTTATGGTTATTGTACAGTATTGAATGTGCTTCACGTAAAATGTCATTATGTAGCTGAAATGTTATATTGTATTGCTTTGAGTTGTACACTAATGTATATGGTAAATGTCTAATTATAATAATGATTTTATGTAATACAGTCAAAAGTCATTAATCCGGACTCGTAGGGACTTCGGCGATTCCGGATTATAGATCATCAGTTTAAATCTCGTAAGATGGCATGCAGAAATTCTAAAATTAAAAGTATGAAACCGTAATTTATGAAATAAAGAACAATTATGATCGAAAGAGTAACAAAATTTACAAAAAAAAAAAAAAAAAAAAAAAAAAAAAGCTTAATATTTATTTTGTTTACTTTATTAAACATTTCTTTCAATGTAAGTTGTTCAAGTTGCTTCTTTTTATGTGATAATACTTTCTCTTTTTTAATTCTATAAACAGACATAATTCTTGTTCAGTTACAAAGTTCCGCTGTTCAAGTCCTGTAATTGCTGTGCCGAGAATACCGACTAACTTGTCAATCGAAATTTTTTTCGTTTTCACTAACCTCTCTGTCACCTTCTTCATGCCTTTATCCATTTTTTGCAGCAATTCCACTTTTTGTTTGATGGACATCGAAACATACTTTTGTTTTGTAGATCCTTTGGGAGCTCCAGCATTGGAAATTCTATTTGACATAATCGAAAGTTCAAATTTACTTTTATAAAATTGCTCTTACAGTCTGAAAAAAGTAATAAGCTGGATCCAGTTTGAAGATTAAGGAACAACGCAATCATCAACATTAACTGAAATAGATAATTTTAGCTTATACCGTCCATTATACATTAAACGCGCAGGCAAAAACGTATTCTGCACTTGCGCACACGCATATGCGCAGTCGTAAAGGTCTTACATGCACGGTTAAACGCCTATGCGCATGTGTCAACGCGGCGCATGCACAGAAAGTTTTTAGCTTTGAGGTCCGGATTATAGATAATTCCAGATTATGGGTGTCCGAATTAACGACTTTTGACTGTAGTACTTATTCAAAATTGTTTATGATATACTTGTTTAATTTTATGCTATATCTTAATTACAATAGTTGAATGCTAAGCATTGCAACGCTGGGCGGCATGTTCGCGCCTGCGCATCTGTAATGTGATGATCAGAGGAGTTTGAGAATCGCCATCGACGGTGTAAGAGGGCTGGTCACAGCTATGAGTTAATTGTAATTAATTATGAGAATTAATAAAGAATCGAACCAGCGAATTTATTTAGTGTGTGTTATTTGGGATGAGATCCAAACACCATCAATTACATCACTCATAAAAGGTTAAACTTTCAATGTTTAAACTTATTAAAAAAATGCATATGCATACCAACTGTAGAACCACTTTACGTTTTTCCTTCTCGCATGTCCGAAAAACTACATTCTGGTCTTCATCAATAAAATCTACAGTATTTAGAATACCTAAATAAAAGAAACATATTGTGAATATTTATAACAATTACATAAATGTTTTAATTAATCTTTAATACATAATATACCAACAAGCTTAGGAATGAACAAATATATATGATTTACTAATAACAGGGTTAAAATTCCTGTAATTTTAATGCATGATCATGATTGATTGATTGCTATAATTTAGATTCCAGCCCTTTTTGACAAAGTAATACAGCTTACTTATTTTTAAGATGTAGTACCAGTTAAGTACAGAATTATATACCATACTTATCCTAAAATAAGAACCGCCCTACATTCTAAAATAAAATTTAAAAGTAAAAGTATATGTGAATATCTAATGAGATTAAAATTTATTTAATCTTGAGAGGTATGAAAGGCAAGCTACCTAATAATAATAATCCTTTCTTCCATTCTGCAATTTCTTTTTATTAAAATATATAATAAATAAGATTATAAGATTCTATCAATTTTAGAAAAAAAAAAAAAAAAAAAGAGCAGATCTTCTTTTGTCAAGTAAACGGAATATTTTTAAAACTGAGAAGAAAGAAATTTTTAAAGACCTTTGATAATGATTTACTTCTTTTAAATATTTTATATGGATATGGAGCAAATTTTTTAAATGTTACATTCTCAAACTGTTATGGTCATACAGTGAAGTAAGCCAGACAGAAGTAACTCTTATTTCTCATATTATGCCAATCATTAGCTTTTAATGATCTTGATTAGAAAAATATGAAAAACAATTCACTTATTTTTCAAACATGAAATAAATCCTTTATTTCAATCATTACTTGAGTAAAACTAAATTTTTAATAATTCATTTCAGCCTCCTAAACGTATTGTTTATTGCAAATATGCGTTTCTAAGTGCTTCATATTTATTAAATTTCTTCATATAGAAACCACAGAAAAATTTTATATGTACTAAAAATTTAAAGCAAAGTTAACCATTTACATAGTAGATACATTCTGATTTTCTTTAATTATGATAATGCCATTTCTCATCCAATTAACTACACATATTTGGCTACTGAATTAAAAAATATTTTTCTGTTGTCACTTCAAGCATATACATCTATCTTAGATAATTATTCCAACTCTTCACCTTCCATGTCCAGATGCAGATCTCTGCAGAAATTAATTGACATTAACTCTTCACAATAGCAATAAATGAGTTTATTACTGTTGAATACCTACAGAAATTTCCTTTGAACCAATTTCCAACATGTATTTTTACACTTTATTAATATTTATTCCTGCTGTATTTTCATAAAGTGTTGCTTTTCTTAATGTTTAACTTGGTTAGAGTTGATTGAAGGGTGCCCCTTGGATTATCGCTAAGTTGTTGTTTCATTTATGGTAACCTGAGTAGTTGAATGCTATAGAAACCCTATTACGACGTAATTGGTTGTGTGATTGCGGTGAATTTGAATGATGAGACAGATTTGGGATAAGAAGTACGTTGTTATTTTCTGGTTTACATGGTAAAATGGCTGAATGTTGTAAGATTAATTTGAAGTTTCTGTACGATTTGGAACGGGAAAAAAAAAAAAAAAAATTAATTGACTGGTGTGTAAATGAAGATTTACTTAGTTGACATTATAAGTGTCCTGTTTGTAGGAAGGAAATGCGTATGGTCAAACGTTGGAGGATACCAGCACTATGGAGGATATTTTTGGGGATTTATGTGGCGATGCCAGTGTACAGATTCCAGTTCAGATAATCTTAGGAAGTTTTTGGATGCTGTTAAGGAATTTTGTTTGACTGAAAACAGGAGGATTTGTTAATAAGGTACGTGGATATTTCCTTTGTGCAGTGCTGAGTTTCCTTTTCTATGTTATTTCAACTGTATGATTTAAAATATAGTTTATTGAGATTATATATTTTTTGTTGGCTGCTCCTTTGACTTTTTACAGGGTTCGTACACATTTCTTCACATGGAAATTAAGTACTTTTAAGGACTTTTAATGACCATTACTGAAAAAAATTAAGGACCTATGAGCAAATAGCAAATTAATAAATTCAATTAAAATATTATCTGTGCTTGAACTTCATTTTTGTAATACCACGCAAAAAACAAAATAGATCTGTAAGTAGGATGCATTATTATTAAACATAACTTAATTAACATAATTATTAATTAGTTTAAGCATAAAATATACTTTATGAAATTTATCAAACAGCATTAAATGTTTTAGACTTACAATAGTTCAGTATATTTGAAGAAGATAAGTAACATTTTATTTACATTTTACTAATAGTTAGTTTCATGTTAATTTTTTTTATGTCTCATTACTTGCTTAATCTAGAGGTTTAGTAAATAGCAGGTAGATTTTATGTCAAGCGTCATAGTTTAAAATGAGAAGTAAAATCATAATCAGAATGATTCATAAAAAAGACTGGCTGTTGTCACCACTCCTGCTTGTCTAGAGAGAGACCTGCTGATCAGAACAAACCTGTAGGCACAGTTAGTAAGTTTTGAAAGTTAGCTGAGCTCTGTCTGATGCCGTTAGTGTCATAGCTTCGTATAGAATTCCAGGAGTTGTAACTCGGTTAATATACTTTAAGGTTCTATTAAGCCACTAAAGCACTAGAGGTGATAAGTTGCTTTTTATTTTAAATTTCACTAGATGCGAAGAATAAGTTTTACATGAATTTTTATATTTTTGTGTTTTGTGTTGAAGTATCACTAAATATTTTACACTTTTAATATAACTGGACATATTTGAAAGAAGATAAGTTACATTTTAGTTAAGTTTTACTAACAGCTTTTTTATTTTTAATGTCTAATTTTGTCATATACTTTGTTCAGTCTAGAGGTTTAGTTAAATAGTAAGGTAGATTTTATATCAAGCAGGCATAGGTTAAAAAAGAGCAAGTAAAAATCATAATCAGCATGATTCATAACGAAAGACTGGATGTTGTCACCGTTGCTTGCTTGCCTTACCTAGAGAGAGACCTTGCTGATCAGGAACAAACCTGAGAAGGCCTAAATGTGGGCACGATTGGTTAACTAGTTTTGAAAGTTAGTTGGGCTCTGTCTGTTGCGGTTAGTGTCGTAGCTCTGTGTAGAGTTCCAGGGTTGTTTGTAACCAAGTTAATATACTTTAAGGTTCCAATAAGCACTAAAGCACCAAAGGTGACACTAAGTTGCTTTGTATTATTTTAGGTCTCACTAGATACTAAGAATAAGTTTTTACATGAATTTTACATTTTTGTGTTTAAACTTTGTGCCACGCTAAGGAATAATGAAAGGCAATAACTCACTTCATTATGCAGAGATAATTTTTAAGAGTAAGCAGTTAGTTATGAATTAAATTATGTAGTTAGAAAACCTTAGTCAGTATGGATTTACACGATTACTATTACATTTTACTCATTTTTTAACAATATTGTTAAAAGTCCCTATTAAAATCCCAACCTAATAAAATTTCACACTTTAAAATACATGCAATTTATGTCATGATTCTTAAACGATATTAGGATAATTATACATTAAAAGCTACAAAACATTTATGTTTTGTAGCAACAACGCTCAACAAAATATTTATACATCTTTTTAATTTGAAGCCTTCCAAGACATTTTGGCTTAATTTATATCAATTTTCTTCTCTTTAAACATCTTTCCTAACAATTAAAAATCTGTTTGAATACACAAACCAATGTTCTGACTAGTTTCTGCGTACTTCATCTCCTAAGTTATCAACTTCTCCACAATGTACCTATGAGGGTTTAATTAATTTGGTAAAAGTTAAATAGTCCAAAAACTCCCGACAGACATGAAGCAAGTTATCACTATTTCTCAAAGTAATTACAAAGATAAACATTTAAATAAGCCTCTTATTTAAAATGAACTTAAAGGTATGTTCTTATGCTAACCAATTCAACTGCAAAGTTTGAGGTCATGTAATTAACAAGAACAATCAAATTCAAACAAAAAAATGTGGGACTAGTGGTCAAAGACTATACAATTTAATTTTAATTTTAAGCTGGCTCAGTAACTCTACTCATCATAACAAATTCAAATGTCAGGCAGCGATAATGCAAAGAAAAAAGTTGCAAATTATCAGAGCTGGCAGGAACTAATGCAACGAGCAAGCGGAGATTAAAAACACATTCTGTCTTGCACACCAAAAAACCTTAATTTAAAAACTGCCTAAGCGATTTGCATTCTGGGGAGGAAATAGAAAAGGGAAATTATAATAAAGGCTGAAATTATAAACAACTGGGTAATTTACATCATAATACCTGTATATATATTTGAAAAATAATTGTCTTTCTCTGTATGTACTCAGTTTCTAAGCTGCTAATTTTATTTCTTTAGTAATATGAACATTCAGGAGAAATAGGAAATATATATGGTAAGGGCAGGTTACAGAGTTAGTGTGGCAGAATTTTTAGAATTTAGTGACACACCGAGCAACAAAATGTAGAAATGGCAAAACTTTTAGAATTTAGAGCAGGCACTGGAAGCAAAATGCAAAATTTAGGATCTACAGAGATAAGTTTAATATTCCCATGTGATTGCACCAAGTGGGAAAATGAATAGCGTCAGACCTGTGTATGATGCATTAAGACATATTAGATGAATCTTTTAAATTGCCAGTTTTCAATTTCTTTGTTAATAAAAAAATTCCTTTCTATAATGCCTGTCCATGTGATAAGATTAGAAGCATTTTTAATATTTTTCCTACTTGTGTCTAGTGAAAAGTAGAGAAAATAAAGGGAAGATAAGCATGTTAAGAAAAAGATTTTAGTATCAGAAGTAAAGCATTCAGATATTATGTTTTCATTGTTCTTCCAGATGTTCTCCAAAAAGTAAGAAATTCATTGCAAACTTTCTGCAAAATACATCCATTATGTATTAATACCATAGAGACATTTTTCATTTTCTCACAATTTTCTAAAATCTTCTGGAATGATGGGTCTATAAATCTTGCTTTCAAATCCTTCTAAACTTTCCAAGTTGCAATGTCTAATGTCCGGAAAAAAATTTACGCCTAC